CATGTCCATTTTCAGCTCATCGCTAATGAACTGGCCTATATTTATGTTTCCTGTCTAAATTCATGAGGCACATAATATTCTTATAATTTCCATCTACAGCAATGAGCTGCCCAGTGTTTGGGGCCGATCCAGCTGCTATATCCAGCCTGTTTCCATGGGCTTCCGCTCCCCTTTAATGACAAATGACAGCATCAGCCTATATCAATCTGCCTCACAGGATGCTTTAATCCGCCATTAAGCAGATGAAATGTTGCACTGAGCCCGCAGAGCAGCAGTGACGGCAGGAGCGGTTCTAAAATTCGTATGCACGCCCCTCCGGCCTGACCGCAGTCATGGACACCCTGTGTCAAACCACCCAGTGCAGCAAAACACAAACCTCTTCCTCCTCGGAACTGGATCCAAAGGTCTCAGTTATCCCCTATTTATACACAGTGTATATTTACAACAGGCCGGATGATTAGGATGCTAGCGAGTAGCGCAAGAGCAAAGAGAATGTGGGGGAAATCTTCCTCGGCTATTCTGAGAAGACAAGGGGTTTATCAGGGGTGAGCCACCTCTCTGATGTCAAAGCTTGTTTTCAAAGAATCTGTCAGAGCTCCTTTACCAAGGTGCTTATCACCTCCTGCAGCTGATCCCTAACAGCTTTTTCTTTTATAACTTCTACATAATCAGATAATTTATGTGAGGCTGAGATCTAGACTGCAAAAGACACCAGGGAAAGAGAAAAGAAGAGAGTCAGTTACACTGAATCAGTGCACAAACAGCAAGAGCGTCACTCACAAATCTATGTGTAACCATAGTTTTTAAAACCACCCACGTTGAGATGTTCAGGACTCAACACCCTTGATCTTTCTTTCATCTATGTGAGGTGGAAGGTTTTCCAACGTCGGTGTTCGTGTGGAGCAGTTAGAGCTGATCTGATCTGCAGCAACAGTGTGATGTGATCAAGTCAGAGTCTGTGCCACGAAGAATTGAGGCGGCTTTGACGGGAAAAGGTGGTTCATGCAGGTACTAGCTTAATAAAGCCTGGTGAGTGTATGCTTGTATGCCAAGAGATGAGGAGAGAACCACGAGACACAACTGCAATCTGATTCAGAACTAAATATACGGTTGGACAGGATGCAGCACATGATTGTCACCCACATAGCTGTCCTCAAACGGGAGCCTTGATTTAAGCCAGAAAATCCAAAATGTGAAACAAATGATGCAGCAAAATGTGATCTGATGTTAATAATAATGTACTGAGATATCCAGTGTTTCTGAATATCTTCATACATCAGGTATTCTGGTAACTCTACAGACACTTACACATCAGAAGCTGGAGAGAGCTGTTTCATCTACTTTAAAAATAGTTGAGATGTTCATGCCTGAAAAGAGTTGCGGGCACGCTGAGAATCTGAAGAATGAGCACTAAAACTTTCAGCTTTCAAAAAAGCAAAACACCCATTAAGGTGTCAGCGTGTTAAGCTGTGGAATGTTAAACTAGTTCCAGTTTACTAAGTCGCTTTCTTGACCCATTTTTTAAAAACACTTCCCACCTATTTTTTTTTTAAATCAAAGACAAACGCAGGCGAGGTTGATGCCAAATAAAAAGATACATAAATTTAAAAACAATTCCCTACAGTTGTCAGACCTGTTGCAGTGTCTGGTGGTTCTCACTCAAATGAACAAATAAATCAATAAATAAATAACTTGGGATCATCATACAAAACAAAAAACAAAATCCCAGCACTGCTATCACCTCCAGCTTCTGTGTACGGTGATTTTGTCAGCAATAAAATCACACACAGTCACCTCTTAACTGGATTACCATTGGAGCCAAGAAAACAGCATGCTATGATTTACTCGTGAAAGTGGCTCCTTTGACACTTTCCTCATGTTTATGTCAGCCATGCTTAATGCTTATAATTATGTTTAGAGGGAAGAACGCAAAAAGGAGACACTTTTAAGTGTAAATCATGGTACGAGACACAAATTTAAAGTCAAGACATGAAAGACAAAATCATTTATTCATATATTTCATGTGAATCCATCCATTACTCGTTTGATTTAAAACCAAAAACGCCCTCCTCACGGTGGTGCTAGAGGGTTAGTCCGCAGAAGACTATCCTTTTCCCGGGGACCTTGAGCGTCTGCACAAACTTCCAAGGCAATCCTTCCAATAGTTGCTGAAGAGGTGTTTCATTTTGAACCAGCGAGCTAACAATGTGAGCCCTGGAGCGTGACTAAAACGAGGGGGTAAAGTCAACAGTTTGTGCTGAGAGCATGTCAAACTGTGAAACGTGTTTACTAAAGAGCTTTGCATTCCCTGTTCTCTGAACATGATGACGCAGACCAGGAATTGTGGGAAACTGAGGAAAAAAATCAGCAAATCCTGGATTTTGCCACCGTTGCTGTTAGGGATAAAAGGAGGAGTGCTTTGTTTTCCATTTATCACGATGGCATTAGTGCTGCTGTCATCACAGGCTTCCCCCTGGATGAAGAGATGATCCTGGGCACCAGAGGCTGGCATTACACCAGCTTCTTTCTCTGTTTATCTTAGACACTAATTAAAAGCATGTCGTGTCTTTAATGTCTAATTTGGAGAAATGCAAGTTAACCAGTTAACCAGCTCGACAGACACCTTAAGCAGCTGTCATCGGGTGATTTATACACGCCTGTTTCATCAGTCATGCTTCCAGCCCAGCAATCAATATCAGGCTTTTCTAACTATCTGAATGGGAAGTTCTTGTTTTTAAGTCTTCACTTTTTTCCTCACTATGGGAGGAACGTGGAGAGTAACAGAATATAAAAAGCTTGCTGTGTTTGTTTCTATAGTTACACCATTTGGTGCATGTCCCATTTTTATTCTTGGCCAGTCAAGCGAGGAGGGCAAGATTTATTTAGAGGATGCAATGAAAAGTGTGATACAGAATGCTGGGATGCTTATGGCATCTCTGCTATTTGACCCACACTTAGAGGAAGGTTGCTGAGTGGTTCACAGCGTTGTCCTAAAAGCTTTACCGCCACCGATAAAAAAGCAGCACTTTTGCTGAATAATAATTCTAGCAGCTCTGAAGGTTCATTTTTCACTATATTGAAGCATAAATTGCACTGAAGTTTCCTACCTAGCAACAAATTCTTCCATACAGGCAACTCATTATCAGTCCTTAACTGGATAAATTTACTGGTGTGTTAAACTATTTAAAAAGAAGATTTTTCCTAGTACGTAGAAATGTCATAGACAGCGGTTACAATAAAACGAAACTCAAACATTTCCAGCGTTGCAGCTGGAAGGAAAGTGTGAAAATGCTCGAGCGCTGCACATGGATCACTTCATCAAGTGTCAGGCTCAACTTAAAAGATGACCCATAAAAGGCTACTAGGTATTTTTATCTTAACATGACCTTGTGCAGCATACTGAATACACATTCTCACATTCTCGCTGCATCCAGTGTGAGTGCTCGATGAGTCCACGCTCTGCTTTGTCACTGCAGAAAAAGAACATCAAATTTTCTTCACCTGCTTATTCTGCTGAAACTTTCTTTTGCGCACTCAGTTTGCCGAACAGCAGTGTTCGGTTGCATGAAATATGCAGATGCTGTAATCACAGAGGAGGGGACTTTCCCTCATTTGAATCTTATTTAACCTCAAAATACGCAGCCATTCATTGCAGAGGTTCAGTTATTACAAGCGCTTGCTCAGCAACTAAACTTTATGAGAAATGAAGCCAGAGATGTCCTGTGCTATATTTATGCGGCGTATTATATATTCATTTCCATCACAGGTGGCTTAGGTGGCATATTTTCAGCTGTATAATGTTTTCTCTGTGTGTGTGTGTGTGTGTGTGTGTGTGTGTGTGTGTGTGTGTGTGTGTGTGTGTGTGTGTGTGTGTGTGAGACCAAACAGTTTCCAACACCTGTTGTGCCAGCTGATGCCAGGTTATTGTCCCCATGTTTGGAACAAATGGCCCCTCCGGAGCCGAAAGTTGCCTGAACTTAGAGGCCCTTAACTCTAGAAAAGAACAGAAATATCTCCACACGTCATCATTCTGCACAGACACAGATACTAAACTTTATTCTTGTGATACTCTAAGAATCCTGTTCAGTGTCTGAATCCCTGCTGACTGGCTCATCTAGCATATAATGATAGTTTGTTTGGGCATATTACATTGCATTCTCTTAGTCCGCCCTCCATGGTACTTTAATAAGCAATTGGTCGATAGGATAGGTTACACCCTTAATAATAAAGTTGCGTTTGATATCACACAGGTCAGTGATCAAACATCAGAAGACACTGTTCATTTCAAAGTAACTAAAAACAAATCGATGAAATAGCTAAAGAATCATTTTATCGCTGGGTAAAGGCTTTATTACTGTTTTTCTGCTATTTCTTAGCTTTAACCCTTTTAAGGGGAACATTAACTGGGTTGCATTCTGACACATTTGCATATTCACACTTGTGTCTAAAAGAAAAAACTTGGAGGAACAAACACTGTGTCTAAAAGAAAAAACTTGGAGGAACAAGATATCAAATTATATTCAGTTGATTTTTTTTATTAAATGTATTTATAAAATGATGCATCATATGAAAAAACATGGATATCTATCTATAGTACATCACATTTCCTAACCTATACAGTATAGTGTCAGGGGTTTTAACTGTACAGATTCCATATAATCAAATAAGACTTGTTTTTTTTAATAGGATTTTATCCTCCAACCCCCACCCCAACACCCTTTTTTTAGTGAGAGAAGAGGAGAAGGGTAGGTGTTGTTTGGGGCAATCTTGTCCAATGGTCTTTCTTAAATTAGCTTTGGGGGCTGGAGGCTCCCCTCCCTGCACTGACAGAAGGAGGAGCCTGTGCAAATCACAGACTACTGTTTCATTCACCTGCACAGCCCTGCAGCATTCACCACACTTGGGTCTGTGCAGCCACACAAGAAACACACAGAGGAGATTCCAGCCGGCCCAAAGTTTCTTTTTTTATGCTTTTTTTTTTCTCATTTAAGAAGCATCAGCCTCCTGCTGCTGCTTACTTGTTTTAACTAAATTACAAGGCAACTAGCAGCAGACATGGCTGCTTGTCTGCAAAGTTGCAAACTTTGTAAAAAGAGTTTCCTTCTTTTGGCTTTTTCTCTCAGCTTCTGTTTTGCCTCAGTATGTGCAGGGCCTTTTGATTCAGCTCACCTCTATCACCGCAGGGTCGGACCTAATGAAGATGATATCATTGTTGCTAACAATGGGATCAGAGTGCCTTTTGGGCGGTCCGTGTTTCTGGACCCTGTAAATGACCTGGTAACAGAAGTGCAGCCTGGTGACCGCTGTCAAATCACAGTCCTGGACAATGATCCACTGGCCCAGAAGCCTGGGATGCTAACCCCTAAAAAGTTTCCCTGTTCATTTGGATCTGAAGAAGTGAAATACACGCATTTTGGATCAAGGAGCCCCAGTAAGGATCGTGTGAAGCTGCAGCTTCGTTATGACTCTCACACAGACACAGTCATTGTCCCCTTCATGTTGGAAGTAGAGGTTGTTTTCCAGCAGCTTGAGATCCTCACCAGGAATATGCCCCTTAATGTTGAAAAGCTCAATGGAGAGAGCAATCCTATTGACAAAAAGGGCCTGGAGTTTTCCTATGAGGATGGTGTCACACAGTGTAAGATCAGCACTCTGGTCGGCGCTGGAGGTCTTCCCAGGTATGGCACTCTTTTGAACAACCCTTCCAATGGCCAAATGGTTGACTGTGATGAGTTTGTGAAGCAGGGTATTCGCTACAAGCACACGGCTAAAACCAACTCACCAAACAGAGACTATATTCCAATGATGGTAGAGCTGCAGGATAACGAAGGAAACATGATAATGCAAGAGCATTTCCAAATGATGGTTAGAATCAGAGAAGGTGCAGAGAACACTGCTCCCAAACCCAGCTTTGTAGCTATGATGATGATGGAGGTTGATCAGTTTGTGATGACAGCTATTACAAGTGACATGCTGTCAGCTGAAGATGTCGAATCTCACCCAGATGACTTAATCTTCAACATCACGTCTCCACTGAACCCTCAGCAGGGTTATATCATCAGCACAGATGATCAGAACTTTCCTATCACCTCCTTCTATCACAGGGACGTCAAAGAGCTTAAAATAGCCTATAAGCCACCCTCAGATGACTCAGAACAAGAGAGGATTTTTCAGCTAGAGTTTGAAATTGTAGACACCGATGGTGCAGTGTCAGATCCATTTGCTTTTATGATTGTGGTAAAGCCTATGAATACACTGGCTCCTGTTGCAACCAAAAATACAGGGCAGCTATTGTTTGAAGGGCAATCTCGAGCTCTCTCCAGCTCTCAGAATTTAGAGATTAGTGATGAGGATAACCTGGAAGACGTGAGAATCACAGTCATCGATGGTTTAAAGCACGGAGACCTTACCATGCTTGGCACACGCAGGAAATTCTTTACACCTGCCGATCTAGACGCTGGCATTGTTGTGTACCAGCATGACGGCAGCGACACCTATAGCGACAACATTATTTTTAGAATGACTGACGGCAGTAATGAAGTGGAGTTTTTGTTCCCCATCACCATTGTCCCCACTGATGACGAGCCCCCTATTATTAATGCAAACACTGGCTTGGTGTTGTTCAAGAATGAAATCATGCAGATCTCTCCATTCATCCTAAGTGCAACAGACATCGATTCAGAAGACTCCACTATTGAGTTTGTTGTGGAGGCACCATACTCCACCATAGGGCAACTCCTGCTTAGGCAAGCAGAGCTACCGTCTGACCCATCTCTGTGGAAGTTCAGCGAGACGGATGAGATGTTTGAGCAGGTGGTGACTGAGTGGCTTCAGCAGGACATTCTGGATGGAAAGCTGTTCTATCGTCACATCGGGCCCCACAGCACCACCACTGTAACCGATAACTTTGTATTCCGGGTCCAGGATGATAACGATCCTCCCAATCAATCAGGCGAGCACACGTTCACTATCAAAATCCATCCCGTTGATGACCTTGCCCCAGAGCTTTTCCCAGGCACCACCCTTCACATGACAGTGCAGGAATATGAGCTCACATACTTTAGGAAGAAATTTTTGTGTTATACTGATCTTGATTCAGATGACAGAGATTTGAAGTACACCATTACTAAGCCCCCGACTGACACAGATGAGAACAATCCAGCCCTCTTGGGTGAAATTGTACTGACTGACAGCCCTGACACTGTAATTACAGAGTTTACACAAGCCCAGGTTAATCACCACAAAGTAGCTTATAAGCCCCCAGACCAGGAATTGGGCATCACTCCAAAAGTGGCTCAGTTCACATTCACTGTGGAAGACACAGCTGGCAACACAGCAGATGGACTGTTCACCATTTTCCTACAGCCGGTTGACAACAAACCTCCACTTATCACCAACACAGGGTTTACTGTTTTGGAAAGAGGTACATATGTCATTACCAGGAAGGAGCTGCACGCCACTGACACGGATACAGATGATGACAATATCATCTTCACGGTGACCCAGATTCCCCAGTATGGGCAGCTGCAGTATTTGGGGATTGATATGTCAAATGGCGAAACATTTGTGCTCGAAGACATCACAACCGGTCGTCTAACTTACATGCACGGAGGAAAAGAATCTCTCACTGATGTCATTAAGCTCTCTGTAAGTGATGGTTTCCATGAGGTACCAATTGCCATCAGGATCACAATCGAGCCAGTTGATGACAAAAGGCCCACGATTATGCTCCCACCCGGCCTGCTCGGAGCCTCCATAGATGTACTGGAGAATGGAGCCACGGAGATTACAAGTAACGTCATTCAGGGCCACGATGAAGATACAGATGACCTCATGCTCACTTTTATTGTTGAAGAACCTCCGAGACTGGGTGAAATCCTGGTTAATGGTGCTCTTGCTGAGAGATTCACTCAGGAGGACATAATTAACGGGGTGGTTGTGTATGCTCACACATCTGGTGAAATAGGTCCGACCAAAGAGCACGACTCCTTCAATCTTACTTTGTCTGACATGTCAGAGCAGTGGGTCGTTGGTGGCAACAAGATCCAAGGTGTGACAGTCCATGTGACAATCCTTCCTGTTGACAGCATCCCACCTGTTGTCAGCGTCGGCGAGCAGTTTATAGTAGTGGAAGGGAAGAAGAACGTCATTACTCTGGAGCAAATTCATGCCGAGGATGTTGACACCAACAGCGAGGATATCTTGTGTACCATCATTGTCCAACCAACTTCTGGTTATGTGGAGAACATCTCACCAGCAGCAGGCTCAGAGAAGTCAAGAGCTGGGACGGCCATCACCGCATTCGCCATTAAAGAAATTTCCCTTGGCCACATCTACTATGTCCAAAGCATCCACAAAGGGGTTGAACCTGTGGAAGATCGTTTCACGTTCCGCTGCTCAGATGGTATTAACTTCTCTGAGCGCCACTTCTTCCCCATAGTCATCATTCCAGCCAATGATGAGAAGCCTGAGATTTTTGTCCGTGAGTTTGTGGTAATGGAGGGAATGAGTCTGGTCATTGACACCCCAATTCTGAACGCAGCTGATGCTGACATCCCCAAGAATGAGCTGCACTTTGAGATCATCAAACCACCCAAGTATGGGACAATTGTTCAGCAGCTCAGCACTGGCACCATCCCTGTGGAGAAGTTCAACTTGGAGCAGATCATAGAGGCATCCAACATTGTCTATGAACATGATGATTCTGAAACCAAGGAAGACAGCTTTGAAATCAGGCTATCTGATGGAAAACACAAAGTGGAAAAAACAGTTCCTATCGTGGTCATTCCTGTTGATGATGAGACACCAAGAATGGCCATTAACGATGGCCTCGATGTGGAGATCGGAGAAACAAAAGTGATTAGCAACAGCGTTTTAAAGGCAACAGATCTTGACTCAGAAGACAAGGAATTAACTTATGTTGTGCGATACGGCCCTGGCCAAGGCTACCTTCAGCGTATCAGCAAATTTGGAGACGTTTTAGGAAATATCACCCTGGGAATGAATTTCACACAAGATGAAATTGACAGACAACTCATTCAGTATGTGCACACAGGCCAGGAAGGAATCCGTGACCTGCTGAAATTTGACGTCACAGATGGTATAAATCCACTTATTGACCGTTACTTTTACATCAGCATCGGAAGCATTGATATGGTTTTTCCAGATGTTGTTAACAAAGGTGTGACTCTCAAAGAAGGTGGAAAAGTAACTCTCACCACTGACCTACTCAGCACCTCTGACATCAACAGCCCTGATGAATACCTCAGTTTTAGCATCACGAGAGCGCCTAGTAGAGGGCACTTAGAGTGCACTGACCTCCCAGGTGTTCCTATTTCCACCTTCACCCAGTTGCAGCTTGCTGGCAACAAGATCTACTACATCCACACCTCTGATGATGAAATTAAAATGGACAGCTTCGAGTTTGAGGTGACAGACGGCTACAATCCCGTTTTCCGAACCTTCAGAGTGTCCATCACCGATGTGGATAATAAGAAACCTGTCTTAACCATAACAAGGCTAGTTGTGGAGGAGGGAGAATCCAAACTCATCACACCTTTTGAACTTACTGCTGAAGACCGGGACACTCCAGACCACCTGCTGCGCTTTATAATCACGCAAGTGCCGGTACACGGTTTGCTGCTTTTCAACAACACCCAGCCAATTACGACTTTTACCAAGCAGGACCTGAACGAGAACCTTATCAGCTATAAGCACGATGGCACTGAGACCAGTGAAGACAGCTTCTCTTTCACTGTCACCGATGGCACTCACACCGACTTTTACGTTTTCCCTAACACTGACTATGAGACACGCAAACCCCAAATGATGACTATTCACATCAATACGGTGGATAACGGTGTCCCCCAGATTTTGGTAAATAAGGCTGCCGCTTCACTGAAAGTCCTCCCAACTGGACACCTGGGCTTTGTGATCACCAGCAAGGTCCTTCGATCAGAGGACCGGGACAGTCCCCAGAAGGTCTTGAAGTACATGGTGTCCGAGGCTCCACTGCACGGCTTCATCATGAATACCGCCGTGGGCAATGACAGCATCAAGACATTCACACAAGGTAAGATGATGTCAAATTTTTAAACCTTGTAACAACGTTTTTCAAAGGTAAGATTTACTCATCAGTGTTTTAGAGTTAATATTGGATTAGAGTGGATGCTTTGTGTGGCACAAAGGAAAGAATTTTTCCGAATTCATGATGCCAACAGCTTTGAGTTAGTATAAAGTTGACAGAACGCCAGATATTCTCCCAGGATTTATTACAAAGACTTGTTCTTATAGAATTTATAGATGCATAGAAGCACACATCCAAATCCTGAATGTGTAAAACAGAAAAACAGCTTTTTATAACTGGTGAAAAACCAAAGAATAAAAAATATTCAAATAAATAATATTCAGTTAAAAACAGTTGGCTGCATTCTTATACTAATATAATGATGCTTAACTGGTTACTACAGACCCCATAAAACAATTTTAACCTCCTAGGACCTGGCGTCCACATATGTGGACATCAAATTTTGGGTTGTCTAGACCAAAATACAAAATTTTGCTCTACAAGGGCCTGATTTCCACTTATGAGGATGTTATGCTGCCTCTGTTCTGTCAAAATTTCCAAGCTAATGTCCTCATATGTGGATCTCATTTTTCTCAGAAACAAAAATCAGGAAGAAAAGTCACGTAACTCTTTGTTTTTACATTCATCAGGTCCCAATCAGCCCAAATGGTAAAGACAAATTAAAATTGCATGCCCTGAAAGGGTTCGGGTCTTAGGAGGTTAAATATATCTCTGTAAACTATATTTTCTGACTTTGTATTTATACAACCTTATAAAAGTGGTTTAGTCGTCACAGTTATCATTTTAGCTAATTGTTTCTCCATATTTTTTTATGCAAACAGCTGATATCAATGACATGAAGATCTGCTATGTGCTGTTGGATGGGAGCAATGCCACCAGTGATATCTTCTACTTCACAGTTGAAGACAACGGTAGGACCCCTCTAATATTTAATGTGCAGTGGCTTCAAGCCACTTTGAGTTTGACTTTTAATGGCTGCTTAAAATTTAAACTTCTTGCTCTCTGTCGGTCACCTAAGTGTTTGCATCACAAAGGCTTAAGGCAGTTGGCCATGACTGACACCCAGTACCGAGGCGCCGCCTCTGTTCGCCCCACTGGAAAGGGCAGCAGGTTTAAAGGACAGGGGTCAAAGGGGACTTAAGTCAAACACTGACTGTGGGATAGTAAAAGTAAAAGACTACCACATGCTCTCAACTGTATTGTTATTGAACAATAGGGTCCTTTCCTTTGGGGCGCTTCTCTGGGCTTTCAAACGTCACCTTTCATCATCTGCCTGAAGTGACACAGTGAAATGTGCATAGGTATGCATGCTGATATATCTGGTTCCTCTTACAACAAGTCTCACAAACGTTTTCTTTTATCTTTCTAAGTATCCACTATTCAATGACATGACTTGTGAAATAAAATCTGCAGAATATTTTGACATTATCAAGATTTTCAAATTAAAAGATTCTTAAATTTCTTTTTAATAAATAACCAATTTTATCCAAAATATAAGAACTTCATATTTTTTGTTAGCTAAATTTCTTTCTCTCTCTGTTTTTACTCGCTTACTCTGACATAACACTGAAGCACTGAGGCTTTCTGTAACACTGCCTTACTATTAAAACATTATTTATATCCACCCCAAGCATAATGCGACAATCTGACAGCCGACATCGTTTACCCTAAAGAATTCTCTTAAATGAATTGGATATGCGTGGTATATGATGGGTCAGGGTATAATAAAATCGCTCGTTGCCTCGTCACCGCTAACAGCATTACATATTTATAGCAAATGCAAAGCGATAAAATGCAGCAGGTGGGTTTTACTATTTTAGCATTGGCTGTAAAATATGAAACAAGATTTAGAAAGGCAATCAATGCTGAAGGGAAAGTTTAGTCTATAATTATGCTGTTTTGGAGGGACATGCTCCACCTCCTAACACCACCATCACGCCCATTGAGAAAAAGGAGGACGTGAGTTTGTCTGTTTTCAGTTTAGCTTCGCCTTAATGCCTCCGTATTAACTCTTACCCTCAGACTGTGAGTGATATATTTATTTTTAATGAGAATCAGTAGCACTGACATTAATCAACATAGATTAGATAAAAGTGCCTTAATCCTATAATCTTAATTTAGGCCAACATTTTTCCACATGTGGTTTAATAAGATGCCTAAAGCAAAGAATTTCTGTCTTTAAGTGTGGGTTTTACCACAGGAAGGGAACACAAGGGCTTCAATTAGCTCAACGCTCCCTTTTCTGTTTGCTTACACACTTTATTTAAGCTTCCAGCCAACTCAGCTGAACCAGGTGCGGTGGAGCTTATACTGGGACATAAAACCAGACCTTATTTCTACATGACCACGGCTGACACGTGTGGCAGCCCCACATCATCCGTGTGATGAACTGCATCTGTATCACTGCACTTAATGGATACACTTATTAGTAAAATCATCACCATACGTATACATAACTACACACACAAATACAAAGACACGTCCAGGAAAAGATCAAAGAGATAATACATGAGAGCGAGTCGAGCCAGCTGGCGGCCCACTAATGTGAAGTGTTGAAGAGGTGACCCCTGAGGGATGTGGCTTTATCCTGGACATGTAGGGGCATGTGAGTGGAGAGCACAGTGATGGTCAGGCTCTCTGATAACAAATCTCAGTGGGTGAGCTGCTTGTGTGAGAACCGATGGTGGGTCAGTAGAGATTAGCACCCAAGATAATCCATTTTTCACTGGCCTCAGGGAACAAACTTTTGTACTTAAAAAGAAAATCCAAATGTGTCTTCATTAACCTAACCTAAGGTTAAATAGAAATCTGTGCTTAAACACCACAAAAACACTATTAAACTTTTTTATAATGAATTCTAATCTAATCAAAGTAGTTCTAGATCCAGACACATCCTTTCAAAATCAGTGGGTTTTGAAAACCTCCTTTGTAAACTCCAGTAATTCTTAATTCTGAATCGAGTGTAAACATACCACTTCTAAGCCTAGTAAGTTTTACACAAATACACACAATCTGAATGTGGCCTCACGCCCCGGAAATACCCCTCAGATGCACTGATATGGGAAGCTCCCTAAGGGTCTTAGCAGCCTTTAAAAGATACCTGCCACTACATGCGCTCCAGTGATGCTTCTTCACGAGCAGGTCAAGAATACACACTCGGATAATTAACATATCCTCATGTGGAACTGAAGCAGTTTGGCATTCCTCTATAAGCCGTGCAGGCTCAAATGTTGCAAGCATACATGTACATATGTAACTGTGAGTCCGTGTATCTGCTGATACAGAAAATTAAGATCTTAATCAAAGATAAACCAATAATGTGCAGACCAGTGACATTGTGTGTGTGGGTATGTGTGTGGGTATGTGTGGCCAGGCAAAGCTGAAGTATGGCTCTTGTAAGAGCATGTGTGTAGTAAGAAGTCAGGAGCAGACGCTCGGTTTGATTTCAGGGGTCTCTGTGAGGATCAGGCATTAGCATAGAGTTAGCATAGCAGTGAGTTGTTACAAAGAAACCCCTCCTCTGTAGCTAAAAAGTTTAAATCTACAGTGAAAAACATCTAAATTCTACATTTGATCTGTGTTATCCGTACTATATGGTGCATAGTTTGTTTCTTTTTTTAATGTCTTGTGATTCCATTACAGTTTCTGCAGCCTCTGGTTCATTTGAGGTATTCTATACATGTTTATATCTGTATATTCACAAGAAAGCTATTATGTAACATTAAATACTAAAGGTGTAACAGTTTTTCAAGTCATTGGTTTACTTTTACAGCACCTCACCTTGCTACAAGTTTAACAATAAGAAACATTTTTTCAAATGCTGATTTGAGCAATAAAAATCTTTTAAAAAGATGACAACGTCATCAGTACTGATTGTCCACACCACTGTCCAGCCTCACTGTCACTCTCCTTCTATGCATCTTCTGTGTTGTGGAAAGTTAAATAGGTGCAGAAAGTTGCTTTAAAGTCAGGTGGAGACTGGAGGCATAAAGAAAAATCTTAATCACAAAATTTTGAATGTCTTGTGATTATTTGCCAGCAAATCCCATCTAAAGTAGAAAGAAAGCAGTATAATTATCATTTGCCACTGCTGTCATTTTAAAAAACTAATGGCTTCTTACTAAGTACTCAGAGTACCAGACTTAACAAAACTGTGATGATGATCTTAGAAATAAACTAGGATTCAACTTCCTCACACCGTTTGCAAGCAGTAACTTGCACTCAAGTGACCAACTCTGGAATTTCTTACAGCCTTTCAAAGAGTGGGATACTGAAGCAGTAAATACCTGTAGTGACACAGCTCACATATATCCCCATCCATCAGGAATGGGTCCAGTGAGCCACGGGCTAAGAAAAGAAACCCTTTTGTGTCAGACCTGTTAAACCTTGTAAATGTAAAGATTTTGGAATGTTTTGGAACAATAATTTTAAAAACAACAACAACAACAACAACAACAACAACAAAAAACATTTAATTCTTCTTAATCTTTGGTGCAAGTCAAAGTGCACCCCAAACAGAAGACAAAAACCAAAGACAGAACAAATAGCTTTGCATTCAGATAAGTCTCTGTGGGGTTTTTTCTAGTTGCAACAATATAGTCTCCCAGTTCTGCAGGGGGATCATGGGCCCTGGTGGGTCGAGTGTTATGTGATCATTCAGAGCCGGGGAGAGGAATGCACTTCCTATGGGACTCCAGACTCCAGGGCCACAGACAGAGCAGAGCCTAGAAGTGAGGTGGTATCCCAGGCAGACAGGTGTGTACGTGAGAGTGGAGGCTCCAGAGGGATCCCCTTTCAAAGCCTGTGGTCACCCCACTCCCAGCTCCGCAGAAATCTAACCCAATCTCAGATAGCCCGATAACCCACAGATTTCCAACATAAGAGGTGCCTGCTCTGGAGGGGGCAGCTCCCCAGAGGGGTGCAATGATATCAAGCCAGAAGAGAAAAGGGGAAACTGAGGAAAAGGAACTTGAAATATTTTTAAAAGGGCAGCATTTTGGTCACATTTCTTCAGTACTGTAAGGGTACCCTGCTGCATGTGGACTGCAGGCTGGCCGACATGGACATGCTAAACCTCTGCTCCCTAACAGTGTTTTGGGATCTTACATGTCACTCGTGTCAACAGTCACCGGGAGATTTACTGGCTAATGGTGCCACTGTCGGGGCCCCCCGCGACTTAAAGAAGCTAAGGCCTCTCAGTCCTCCTCCACCGCACCCCGTCCTGTTCTCACTTACCCTCCTTCCCCTTTCCTCTTCTCTAAGAGCCCTTCAGGGTATTACTATTCTTTTTTCTTGTTTCTATCTCACGTTTCCCTCCGGCCCTTTCACTGAACTCTGCTATTCCCTCATTCTTTGTCTCTATTTCTCTTTTTGTTCTTTATCTTGAGCCTTGATTTATGGTGACTGGTGGACTTCTGGGGTGCAAAGTTATGATGTATAGCTAGAGCAGTTATTCTTATCTGCTCCCACATGGCAAAGCTGCCACTGAGTTACTTGAACTCTGTGCCATGTTTTTTTTTTTCAGCCGCACTAGTGACTTTGCTGCAGAGAAGGAAACACTGGTTTGTTGGATTGTTGGTTTGTTTATACATGAATCACTGTGGTCTGAAGTGAAATGTCTCAACAGCTTTTGAATGGATTAGTTTTGGTACATTCATGACACACCAGGAAGAGTTTGAACTTCCTGGTTTCAGTCGAGGTGCCTCAAAAGATTAATCAGGTGCAGTTTTTCATAATTTTTTGACTCAGTTGTCTTAACCAGAGCTTCTTTATATTTCAGCATTACACCTGTAGCTGATGCTACACCTGATGCAATTTTTTTTTGGTGCCACAAGGGACCATGTATGAACAACAGGGTGGAGGGAAATGATGTTCAATGCAGGGAAGCACTGACTGTATGTGCACGTTGCAC